TTTTTTTTTTTTTTGTTAACCGGGATTAATTTTGAAAAAGTTAGTTGCGTTAGGTTTGAGTGGATTTTGAGTTTGCATTAAATAATATTTAAAATAAAATAATTAAAATTGATTTGATATAAAAGTAGGAGAGAAATGATTGGGTTGAAATTATGTTAGTGGACGAATAGTAGGTTAAAATTGATGTAATGTGAAGGATGATTGATTGGTATTATTTAATTATATTTGATAATATTGAGAATGGTGAGGTTGAATTAAAGTTGAGTTATATGAGCAAGGATTGAATTTCTTTTTTTTGGATATGTCTATATCCAAGCATGCGCTAAGGATTCTTCAAATATTTTATAGTTAAAAGGCAAAATTTAAGGTGGTTATAAGCTATTATCCAGATACAGAACTATCATTATCTTTAAGGTGTGGCAGCTTATATTGAACAAAAGTGAAAGTGGCTTACATATGACTGCTAAGGGCATGCAGTGGAGAACTCAAGTTCCGCATGTCAAACAGACCAACTGTAGAATCGGAGGATGCAGTAGCCAAAACATACTCGTTAAACGGATTAAAAGACAAATAGTTCACCTGACATATAACAGAAACGCGTTATGAAGTACAAACCAAATACATAATTATTTGAGAAATAAAAACAGCATATAACATATAAGTCATTAAACCTCTTTCTCATGTACAACAACAGACTGCTGGAACTTGTTTGTGCGCATATCCCAAATCATTAGCTTGCAATCATCTCCTACAGATCCAAACAAGTTCTCATTTTTCAAATGCCACGCCACATCCTCAACTACGTTTTCATGGCCCTAGGCAACAAATCACACGTTTGGAGGTCAACAAATCATGCCATTCAACAAAAATAGCACTGGGAATATTGTAAGGTATACAAATTATGAGATACCTCGTAAGTAAATTTTGCATCGAGCACTTTCTCTTGAGGCATTGCAGAAATATCCCACAAACAAATTTTGCAATCATTTGAACCACTCAAAAGATATCCCTCTTTAAATGTGCTCCAGGACAGACCATACCCTTCTTTATCATGGCCCGTCAGTCTCAAGTCCGGATCGCAAGAACCACGTTCGGAATTCACCAGCTGCTTGGTAGAGTCGAATATGTATACCTCAGAGCCATTGGTCTTTGCAGCAACTATAGCTTGGTTTTGTGACATACAACGGGCTCTATTCACTTCTCCATCAACTTGTATTTTTTGGACTATCTCTACCTGCACACAAGCAACATATATATCTCACTTAGCTGCTTAGAAAAATTGATGAATTTCCATATAGATCTTCTCTGTGTAATAAATAGAGGAAAACAGGGCCGATAGACCGAGTAATCTAAAAGTTACAGGTAATCTATACAGTTCCCTTGCAGAAAACAAGACAGGTCCGGAAAATGATATTTCAAGACAACTAAGTCTGCATTCAGATGACAGCAGGGGAAGAAAATTAAAGACGTGGAAACATAAGACTCAGTGAATATAAATCGTTATGCTATTCGCCATTAAAATCGTGGATAAAACTAACACTGGCTTTGCTCAAAATTTTGGGGTTCTTAGCTCTCTGAACATTGTTATTGTGATTAGAATATCATTCTAAATTACTCCTGAAGCTTGGGACAATACCACAACGACTAATGAACAATGGCAAACCGAATTCCAGGTTGATTTCATGTGAAGCATGTCATATAATCGTTTGTGCTGATTTTTTTGTTTTTTTGTTTTTGGCTGATTTTTTTACCATGAGACAACATGTCCAATAATTTATACTCAGCTCAGATATCAAATTTCCATGGTAATCTGATTATACATAGAATCAAACATAAAACCAGCATAAAGATGAAAAAATAAAAACCAAGCACAGACATTCATTCAGAGGTTTTATCAAACAGTTGGTGCTCAAACACGGCAACACATGACACACTAACAGAACCACACAAGATCCACATAAGTATTTAACTCTGTACCTTGGGGACGATGGAGTTGTCAGGGTCGACTACGATGGCGGAGGAAGGATCTTGGGGGAGATAGACGTCCGCGAGCATGAGAAAGTTAGGGAAATCATCGGATGTGTGCGTACCCAAGATCAATTTGTGGACAGCGAGATCCCCGCCGTCGGCTGAGGGCGGCGACGGCAGCCAGTGGACGGTGAGGGACGGCCACTCTAGGGAGTGACAGATGACGAGGTCATACAGCAATGGCGTGTTCTTCTTCCACACAGAAAATTCCTCCTCCACTACCTCTTCCATCTCTCTCTCTCTCTCTGAACACAGCAGGTATGGCTGAAACTTATGATTGTGAGAGGGGAGCGTTTCCCGCCAAATGTGAAACCCGAGGGAAACTGAAGGTGGAGGTTCGAGGGG